CAAAGAGCAACAAAATGATAGACAAAATCATTCCTATTTGTTTTTGAGACCCTCCGAGCATACTTCCATCCGGGATCATTAGAATTTGGGCCATCTTCCCCTTCTAAATTTGTAGATCCTTAAGTATTTGACAAATTAACTTGCGCAGTAGAAAGAAGAAAACCAGGTAGAGAAAAAATAAAGTAAGAAGAGACGGGAAGGAGAGCAGATATCACCTGCTTGACTGCTTCTGACTTCTGCCACTTGCGAGACGGGAGGAAGAGACGGGAAGGTGTGCCGCGGTTTGGAGGACTTGCGAACTGGAGGAAGAGACGGGAAGAGTCGCACTCAAAGAAAAAGAAGAAGGCGTCGTTCCTTGGGGGTCGTAAAAGTTGGGAGGGTTTAGTCGTGTAATCTCGTTGGGGGTCGTAAAAATTGGGAGGGTTCAGTCGTAATAAATAAAGCTAATCCCTAAACCTAATTTAAAAAAAAACAGTAAGCAGATGTTCACAAGGCGCGCTTTTTTGCGCATCAAGGCACTGCGCATAATGCACAGAGGCGCAGTGAGGCGCGCGCCTCATGAACTGCGCGTGCATCAGGACTGACGATGCACTCCCCCTGGCGCTTCGTGCGCATCGCGCCTCAGGCGCGCCTCAAGCGCGCTTTTCACAACTATGATCCGATCTATTTGCCGGAATGTTGGTCGTATCTATTAGAATGTGTGATGAGTCGATTCACTTTTTTTTTATAGTTTACATTTTAGATATGAAGTATAGTAGTAGTGTAAGAGCACGGTGTATGTTTTTTCCAGCATTTATTGTCCATCATTTCCTTGTTAACTTGGATTATCATAATTGTTACACAAAGCTATGTGTTGCTACAATTTCAGTAGCCCATACGATAATACCCCTGCAAAGCCATATCTTCCCAGTTTCTTCAAAATTCTGAAAAGTTCAAGAAATGATAATTAGTCTCAAGTGAAGAGCTCACAAAGGACTATTCTGTAATGCTGCTTGAAGTGACTTCATTTTTACACTTCTGCACACACATACATAATACATAAAATTAAAGTAAAACAAAAAGAAAAAGGAAGAAGAATGGAGAGCAGAAAATTTGCATGACCGCAGCCTCCTTCGTGGATTGCTTTTAAAATCTAACCAAACACTATTTGTCAGAGCATAACATTAAACATTACATACCCTTTAGCAAAAAAAGGTTCTTTTTTTTATCATCACTCCCATCACCTGCACCTGCACCTGAATAATAAACAGATACACAATCTTTAATGTTGAGTCATGTTGATGATGTCAAAATATGCACCATTATAGTTCAGTTAAAAGTTCCACACTATATACCTTGTAGGTCTGGGAGGCTATTTTGAGGATCCTGTGGTTTGCTAGAAACCTTAACATGCACAATAAAAGATACATTAGCCATCTTAATCAAGCTACACACATGAAAGTAACTATAGAATGGGAACAAAAGGAGGAAGGAAGCAACTTTAGAACATCTAAGAGGTGTTTATCTCCATGATCACAACCTAGGATATGTGTTGCTACAATTTCTTCCTTTTGATATTTGAAAATGTGCTCATTCATTTTTAGTTTCTTGCTGTCTGTCTCAAAAATTTCTAGAGCACGGTCTTTTGCAAGATGATTGTCAATGAGTATGCTTTGAAGATGGGTTGGACAGCACCTACTTATACCATGAATGAGTCAAATGCACCAATTCCCACATTTATATCTTCATTGGTTCTAAATGGTGTTGCTTATGTTGGAGATGTGGCAAGAAGTAAGAAAGAAGCAGAGCAATCAGCTGCACGCTCAGCTATATTATCAATTCTAGGTCAATATTACAACCCAACAAATAATTTATTTGTTTGCATATTTCTTCACAAATACAAGTTTATCGAGCCATTCTGACATATATAGCCATTGCTGCAGAGTCTGAATCTAGCACTACTATGTCCGAGATAGTCAAGTCCAAATATAAGTTATATGACCCTGGGATGGGCCCCACTCATGGTAGTGGCATAACTCCCTCAGTCAATAAGAAGAGAAAAGAAGTTGATGTTAGTGCAGGCAATATTGCTACTGGTCCTTTTGCTCATATTCCTCCCAGTCCTCAAATGATGCATCCACAGTTCAAGAAGCCTACAACTGGAACTCCGATTGAACTCGTTCCAGTTCCTCTAATTCAATTTGTGCCTGCATCTTGGGAACAAGGTGTGGTAAGCTCGGTCCCTGGGCAGATGAAAAATCGAAAAAATAAGAAGAAGAAGAAGAAGAAAAAGAAAGTTGAATGCTAGTTTCTCTTTGTGCGAGTTTTTCACATGTTTCTTGCTGCAAATCCACTAACTGGGTTGATTCAGTTTTCTCTTGACTCTTTGATCTGTACAAGATTAAATGTTTTCTTGTTTATTGTAGTTGGTCAATCCTATCAATTTCCTCCTTGATTGCTTTTCTGAAAAAGTAAATTACTATATTTTCATAACTTGTAGTCATTTTGTACTAGTAAATCTTTTACTCCCAAGTTTGCCTACACACATGATCTAAAAGACATCATCCTTGTGCCCTTGTCTGCCTATGCAACTTGTCTAGGTGTGCCGGAGCAAGCTTTGAGGCATTGTTGTGTGCAATGGATATAAGGTAAGTGCATAAACTGACACTGTTTTACATTACCTGTCTGCTTGTTCTTTTAGGTTTGTTTGAAATTAAATTTTCGTTTTCATATTCAATAAAAGAAATTATGATAAATTGTACGGAGTATAAAATATCTGAGAGGCCGAACATAAGCTATATTGACATTAATGAGTGACAAACTCATTTGAAAGAGTTATTTCATTTATAGACTTATTTCTTAGAGTAAATTTTCAAAATGATACTCAACATTTTTATGTTTTCCCAGATTAGTTTTCAAAATTAACTAAGTTTCCAAAATTAACTAATTACTGAGATGGTGCTCGTTAATTAAAAATAATGTTCAGTTCATCACTTGATTAACGGCTGTTAAAACAACGTTACGGTAATATTAAACCTTATACTAATTTTCAAAAATGGTACTTTCTAATTGAGTATTTTTTGAAATAGGTCCATTATCAAAATAAAAAGATAATAAATATGGAAAAATATTTTAAATTTTCTAGGACGAGAATATAATAATAAAAACTATAAATATAATTTTATAAATTTGAAAGTAAACATTTTAAATTCTTTACAATTATTTAGAAGAATATCATGTAAGTAAAATATTGAATAAATGTTAAAAAATTAACATATATAAGAGTAAAAACGATGAGAAAATACAAAAATAGAAGCTCTTTCTTTATTTGCAAATAAATGTTTACTTTCAAATTTATAAAATTATATTTATAGTTATTGTGTCAAGAATCAATAACTCGAGCGGAATTTTAACATCATCAGTTCCATCAATTACTTGCCCAAGGTTTTCATCTCCGACTTTGAATATCCAACAAGAAAATATGTGTGTGTCCTTATCTAGCACAAGATGACATAGATTAATACAATCTCATATTCTTGGTTATGGTATAAACTTTACTATGCGACCGTAATTTTGAAGAATTGACGGTAGCCCCTAGAAATTCCTCTCTCAAAGCTTTGGGTAAAATTAGTAGAATTTGATAAAAATTGCCTCTGAGTACAATGATTTTCCTTCCAAATGTTTCTTTTCTGAAACTATTATGAGAGAACCTCATTACATCTCTCATTGTATGATCCAAAAGCCTTAAAAGCGAATCTAATCATCTTACATGTTTCATCCTATATGATTAGACATGCTTGTTGGATTAGCTCTGCTTCGGGCTTCCATGTTTGATGGCACACGTTTAGCACTCGGTTAGTGCCAGATGGATTGAGAATCTTGAGTGTGCTATCCTTCCCCAAGAAAAAACAATGCTACAATGTCATGAATGCGACATTCAACACAACCTTACCATTTGACCTTAGAGAAGTGACTGTGATTTCAAATAAATGTTTTTCCAATTCTACCGTAATCATACACAAAAAATAAATCCTCTCTTTTAGCTATCACGACTTCCATTATTTTGTCGTATTCTCGTATATATATATATCTTCCTTTAATCTTCATTCGTCGAAAAAGTATCTTCTAAGATCTGATGACAATTTTTCCTTGTCATATAATAGAACAATTTGTCATACAATTTTTCAAAGTCTATATAGATTTTACAAATTTTTCTAACTGTATATGGATTCTATAAAAAAAATCAACCAAACTCTACATAGATTCTACAAATTTTTCAAATCCACTAACTTTTTGAAATCTAAAAAAATCTACAAAATCCTAATTGAATACACCCCTCTAAGTATTTATTTAAAATATATTAAGTGAGTTGTCATCTGAAAATGACATGTCATGGAATTCCTTTAAAGACTTTTCATTTGAATTAAGCAACTTTTCAATCTCAATCTGATAGATACATTGGACTGGGAGTATCCAGTCCAATAAAAAAGTAATGACCAAATACAAGGCCCATCCAGCCGCGGGGAGTTGGATGCGCTCAACAAAAGGCATCTTACTCGGCTGAGCAAGACTTAGAACAAACCAAGCTCTCAAGATGGAAACCGCACTCGGACAAGCATTTGTACTTAGCCTTGCAGCACGTACTCGGGCCCAAGGGTATAGTTGGTCGTACTCGGCCAGACCCGGACAGACTATCACTCGGGCTATGGTCCAAAGATAGAACCGTGTGCTCAGCCTCGAAAAACGAAGGAACAACACATTACTATCATTTTCTTTGGGTCCTGTACGCCCTGTCTACTCTACGGGCCCACTCAAGGACATCTCTGGTACTGTTCGTATCATTCATAATTATGTTGTTTGTAATTACACAACTTGTATTATTAGTCTAAGATCCGATTCCAGTGAACCCTAGCCCACTAGGTCGTGTCCTAAACAACGGCCATGAGCCACATGGATAAGAAAAATGTATTGTATAAATACCCCTCCCACTTCGGGAAAGGGGGACACGTTCACTGCTATGTAAATATACTCACTATACACTCTTAAGATTCGTGTTCCCGGTGTACCAAATCATGAGTTAACTTTGAAGGTAGGCACACCAATTATGTTATTGAAAAATATTCATCATTCATTGGGTTATGTAATGGTACACAGTTGATAGTATCCCGGTTAGCTAATCACTGAATACAAGGAAATCTATTATTTGGAAACCACGTGGGTGAAGAAGTCAGATTTTCAAGGCTATCATTGACACCAATGGGCGCCCTCCGAACATGGGCTTATGTGATGCGGGCCAGACTGGTTCAGTCCCCAAAATAGGCTATTATTTAGTGCTAAGCCCTACTTAGATTTGGGATTTGGCTCACATCCGTATTTGCAAACGCCAATATAGTTACCCCTTATGTTTTCAAAAATTTTCAGTGTTGCCCCTCATTATTCTGATACTGATACGTCAATGCCCTCTAGACTAAAATATTCTTCAAATATTATGAAAATAGCTCCACTGCCTCCTTTGGTTTTGTAAATTTGCACAAACGTCTCTTCTTTTCTTTATTATTTTCCTTTTATCTACTATTCTTTCAGAAATGTATTTTAATTTCTTTTTTAAAATTTTTTTAATAATGTTTTAATAATCAATTTTTTGTGTTTGCAATAAAAATCAATTAAATAACAAGAATTAACTTACACCTCATTTGTCTCAAATTAAGCATTTTCATTTTTTGTCCAAAATAGGTCTTTATTTGTTCGTTTTTATGATACAAAAATTAATGAAACATTCTCTGTTTTTTAAGTAAATCTCATTTCTCAATTTTTATTCATTAATTTTGTACCGTTTCTTTTATTTTAATCAAAATTATAATAAAAGAAAAAAGAATTGAAAAAATAAAGAAAAAGAAAAGTGCATTAAAAAAATACTTTTAAAGAAGAGGAAAAATTAAGTTACTAAAAAATCTGTTGTGCATTGGTGCAAAAAATATTATTAATATATAGTATTTAACTACTTCGTATATATTAAAAGACGTTACTCATTATTCTTTAGGTCCCAACATATTCAAATATATAAAAAAAATTTCGTCAAAATGAAAATATTTAATTTTAAATTGAAGTATATTTTAAATTTTTATTTCATTTTCTATTTCAAACACAAATATTTTTTATTTTTTAAAACTTTTTTTTATAATTATAGGTTTGAAAAAAAACTTTTCATTATTTGACACACAAACAATTTTGTCCTCTTTTTGAAAAAAGAAACGAAAAAGAAAAACAATAATGAAAAAGGAGAGGGGATGTTGGCGCCAATTTCCAAACCATATGGCGTAGCTGAGTTAGTCACCTAATATTTGAAAGATATTTTTATCCAAAAGGGTATTGGCGTAACAATATTAGAACTATGAGAACAATAATATACGAAGTAAGTTTTAAAATCACGAAATTAATAATATACATATACCAAATCACAGAGAGCAGTTGTGCAATAAACTTATATTTTGAATTCAAATAATGTTTCAAAACTTTCAACAAAAGAGGCTTAGAAATCTCCACGAAACTTCCGCTACCTATACCCAGTCTTCGTATTGCCTTTCAAGCTCTAACTGTTCAGTGACCTAAGGAAAAACTGTAACTGTTCAAGTCCTGTCTGTTTTTCACGGGAGTTGAAGATTTGGGCTCTCTGCAACACGGACACCATGCCTTTATTTTAATTTGCATTCTTGCTTTTATTCTCATCTTATAATGGCGTTTTTTTGGTGAGTTATTTTCTGACGAATTATTGTAATGATACTTGCTTATGTGTAGTTACGTAGACATGTACATATACAGGTATATATGCTTTCCGTTTTAATAATAATAGTTGTTAATGAACTCGAAGATTTCTCTTTATCTCCCTAATGATTTATCGCCTAAAAAGTTTAAATTTAACACAATTTGTGAGATGCATGCATTATATTGTTAGTTCATTCCTCTATCTAAAATTTCTGCATACGCCAGCCAGTGCCTGTGATTTTTTTTTTCCATTCTCCGATGGAGCCAAAGATTCACTATTTTTTGGCTTTGGGGCATGATTGAATTAAGAAAAATGACTCTTTCTTTTAGTAGTGAAGTAACAATTAGTCAATGCAACTTTCGGTGCTCATCATGGGTCATCCGGAAACAGCCCCTCTAAACATAGCGGTCAGGTTGCGAATGTGATTACCTGTGGTGCTTGAGAAGGGTGTCTCTTTGGAAACAGCCTCTCTACATTCGAGTAGGGGTAACACCCTCCTTAGACCCTACTTTTTTTGGGATTTGGGTTGTTGTATTGAATCCTAGATTGTTTTGTAATTTGGTTGGAAGACCTTTAGGTCAGGGTTTCCCAATTTTTTTATATAGGTGAAGATTCAGTGAACATCGACATATCGTGTTCATTAAGAGTCTAAACCATTGAAAATGTTGAATTGTGAGTATTTGTGGTCTGGTGCTCGTTGTGTTATATTTACAGTGAGTGAGATAAGGAATAACTAATTTCTGCTTTTATTTGAAGGTAAGTGTGGTTACTTTTTCTTGTTGCTTCTGGAGAAGACGTTTAATTGGAGGGAAGGATTGTAGAAATTGATCTTGTTTGTGGTCATTTATTCCAAATGCGGTGAAGCCAATGAATCGCCACCAAGAAAAATTTTTGAGGTCGGTTTTACTGTTTATGTAATTCTTAGTTGTTTATGAAGAGTTCTATTGGCCCATTGATCCCGAAATGACTCGTAGAGAATAAATAGGATAATTTTCTATGTAGCACACTGGCACCCAAACAAGGATGACAGAAAATATAGGTGTATATCTTACTCTTTTTTTCCATTGCATATTTAAAATATTGTAATTTGTAACAACACTACAATGTGCATAATTAAGCAATGCAATATCTTAAAGATACATAAATCATAATATGGGGTTAATGACATTGTTACTAATTGTCGTTGATTTAAAGTTTTTATTTGGTATATCATCCCTTGAACAGATGATATTAAATTTTTCTCCTAAAAATGTGCTATCAAATTTCATCATTTTAAATAATACTTTCAACGTCCTTTAGAAACTCATTGCACTCCATGCATCTACACATTTCTTTGTAATTTTAAAGTGGTCCAGAAATATTTTTTAATTCATGAAAATTACTAAAAAGTGTATCATGAGACTTTCTTAGTCTCGACACAAATATGTGCATGTGTGGCACAGAAAGTTTCCTTTAGGTTGAGCTTTCTCTTTCTAGTAGTTTAGAACATAAGAAAGATACACTTCTCACTCTTGCACTCTGCCTAATGTTTCCAAAAGTCATTTCATATTTTTTATTTTGCACTTTTTTGTGATTTTGTTCACTGTGCATACCATTTTTCTTGTTAATTATTGTTTGTTGTGGCCTGAAGCTTAAATTGGGTATCCTACAGGTTTCAGGATTGGAATTCAGACAGTACTTCTAGAACAGGTCCCTATGGAAAGGTCCAAATAGCATTGCAATCAGTTTCAGATAACTTCCACAAAACACTGGAAATTTTTTTTGAGAGGATAAAAAACGTAAAAAGTTCTCTGAAATCTTGTGCACTAAATCGTTGTCTTACCAAGGGCCTGGGATATAGAAGGAAGATTTTTGATCCGCATGGGCCATTTCGTCAGCGTTGGAATAAAATATTTGTTCTATTATGTATAGTTGCCATATCTTTGGATCCTTTGTTTCTCTACATTCCAGTGGTCGACAATGTCAATAAATGTCTTGGCTTGGACAAAAAATTGGAGATCACTGCTAGTGTCCTGCGGTCATGTACTGATATTGTGTACATTCTTCATATTGTCTTACAATTTCGGACAGGCTTCATCGCCCCCTCTTCACGCGTATTTGGAAGAGGTGTTTTAGTAGAAGAATCTTGGGAAATTGCAAAGAGATATTTGTCCTTTTATTTTGTAATTGATATCCTTTCAGTTCTTCCCTTGCCCCAAGTAAGATAGACTTATACGTGTCTTTTTTATTGGTCCAAAGCTCTATACTCCCTCGGTCCAAGAATTTTCTTCTCACTTTAATTTTTCTTGTCACTTTAATTTTTCTTCTCATTTCCTTTTATGGCAAAGAAGTTTGCCTTAAAAGTCAAATTTTCCCTTCCACTTTTAATGACTATCTATCAAATCATCACTTTTCATTCACACCATTCACTTCATTTAATGATATTCCTGTAAGGGCAAATGTGGAAAGTCAATAATGTTGTTATCTCTCATTAATATGTGTGTCAAGTTAAATCGGGAAGAAAATTCTTGTATGGAGGGAGTATCTTTTATCTATGGATTCTAATCCCATTTGATCGCGCAGGTTGGGATTCTAATTCTAATTCCTAAAATGAGAGGAGCAAATCCTTTGAGCACAAAGAATTTGCTGAAATTCGGAGTGTTCCTCCAATATATTCCAAGGATTCTTCGAGTTTATCCATTATATAAAGAAGTCACCAGAACTTCAGGCATACTTACTGAAACAGCATGGGCTGGCGCTGCATTTAATCTTTTTCTTTACATGCTTGCTAGTCATGTAAGTTTGTATAATTTTGATATCAGTTTTAAATCTTGATTGAATTACATGATGCAAGATACTGTTCAGATAATTAACATCCAAGACTAATTTATGATGATGCATAGAACGATGCATGCACACTATGGACATGCATCTGTTAGATTTCAATTTGTTTAATTAATGAGTAACTCTTTTAATTATTATCCATTAATGGTAGTAATTGGAACAACATTAATGGAGCATTCCATCAACTGAGTTATCATAGATTATCAGTTTTTTAATGGGTGTCACCTGTTTTGACATCAAGGTGATATGATTCTTTCCAGGTACTTGGAGCATTTTGGTATCTGTTCTCTATAGAACGTGAAATCACTTGTTGGCAAAGAGCTTGTGGCAATTCATCTAAGTGTCGCCATGCCTTTCTTTATTGTAGTGATGACCACAGTGCTTTTAGAACACTTCTTAACACGTCTTGCCCTATAGACCCACCAGACACATCAGAATTTGATTTTGGCATATTCCTTGATGCTCTTCAATCTGGTGTTGTAGAGTCAAGAGATTTCCTTCAAAAGTTCTTTTATTGCTTCTGGTGGGGCCTGCAAAACCTAAGGTATACAGTCTCCAGGTTTTTCCTATTACTCCCTATGACCCTAAATAAACTTCACACTTGGTTTAACTGTTTAAGATATTTGATTGAAGTTATTTCAATTTAGAATAAAAAAGAATATCGATATATTAAAAATTACACCAAAAGTTCAGTAAAAGATTTGACTTCACTATTTTATTGCAAAAATAGTTGAAGCAAATAAGCAAGGAAAGAAGACATAGTTTTAGCGTGTAAATAGTTAAAGTGAAGTTTAATAACACTCTGTTTGGTTCAAGGAATTCAGTATGGAAAAGAAAAAAATGGTAAGGAAATTGGTTAGAAAGGAAAAGAAAAGAAAATTTGGAGGAAAAGAAAAGGTGAGGAAAATGAAGCAAACTCCTTTCTCCCACCCCTCCCTCGCCCCGGCTGCCCACTGCCACTGCCCTCCCTCCCTCCACTTCCCTCTCAACCATTTCTTCCTTCGTTTTCTCTACAACACCCAGACGAAGGAGTTATTAAAAAGTATTTTCCTTGCCAATTTCTCTACTAACCGAACAAAATTAGGATTCTTTGTTTCTTTGACTTTCTTTTCCTTTCCTTCCCAATTTCGTGAACCAAACATAGTGTTAGGGACGAATGGAATAATTGCTTTGTGTAGTGGCATTCATATTTATCTGTGTATGGCATTGCATTTCTAGAAGAAAAAAAGAGCCTCTTTGGTTTTCCAATTGGCAGAGAAGGCGTCTTCTTTGCCTTTGATGGAATCTTCATAGACGAGGTCTTGCAGCTTCCTTTAACAAACTCCTATAAACAATAAGAAATGCAATGCCATACACACACAAACCAGAACTGGAACCTAGGATTCAAGAACCGGACCGGTGGGGAGGGTTTTGTAACAAGAACCGGGAACCGGCGAGTGTGGGTTTAGGTTAGGATTCCTCAGTTCTGGGAACCCGAACCAGCGGTCCTGGTTCCAATTCCATTTTTTTTTGTTTCTTTGGAGCTTATTCTCAATGTGTTTAGGTTGATTCACAATATTTGAAAACAAAGTAACATCTTTTCCTAAAAAAACCAAATAAATAAATAAATAAAATTGGAACCCTTACAGAACGGTCCGGAACTCCCCCTACCAATACTTGTCATGGTTCTGCCCAACCAAGAACCGGCATTCCCGGAACCAGACTGGTACAATGGCCACCGCTACTTACAATGACTATGACAAGAGTCCCAAACATAATTGAGAAAAAGTCTCTAAAGCTAATTTAACCCTTCATGGAAATACTCTCTCTCCCTCTTTTGTGCTCAATTTTTCTTTTTCATTTGCCCCGAAGTTATCCATTTTTTGTTTTAAGGAAATGATTCTTCGGTAGGTGATGTAAATCTTTCTTATATGTAAATCTCCACCACACAATCTAAGCTGTATTTTGAAATGTATAAGGTCAGTAGGGAAATGATATAGGGATGTAGGGAGTTATTACTAAACGACTAACAAAGTAATCATAGGAAACTAGTTGGGGAATAAGGAATTAATTTCCAATCTTGTGCTGCCTTCCACCACCCTCAGAGCTCCCACATGCACTTTACTCCTTCCAGTCTTGCTGGCGTTACTAATACTTCTATCCCACGGAGTGCATCATATACTTTGCACATTTTGAAAGCAAACCTGGCGTTCGTATGTTATGTTATTAGTTATATGTCAGATAGTATGTATCATTGATGTTCATCCTCTTGACTTTTGGTAGTGTACTGCCTTAAAATGAAACAAGTGCTCATTTATGTACCTTTCATATGTTTCATGATCAAATGTGTGTTAATTATGTGTGTAACTTCAATTCTTCATTATATGACGTGATTTTTATCCTTGTGTATTTGTAGTTCACTTGGTCAGAACCTCAAGACAAGCACCTTTATCTGGGAAATTTGCTTTGCTGTTTTCATATCCATAGCTGGGCTGGTGCTATTTTCCTTTCTCATTGGGAATATGCAAGTAATACTCTTCACAAGGGGGGGGGGGATTTATCTATTTAGATTAGGAATGCTTTGAATGATGTAACGACCGTAGCATTTACTTTCTCAATTCTCAGAGAAAATCATGCTAGTAGCTGAAAAGATGGTAATTCAATCTTTAGTAGAAAAGAGTCATTACGATGTCAAATCAATTTGATATTTTTTTCTGGTTTAACAGACATACTTGCAGTCAACCACGATAAGGCTAGAGGAAATGAGAGTGAAGAGGCGAGATGCAGAGCAGTGGATGTCTCATCGTTTGCTCCCTGAGAACCTTCGAGAGAGGATAAGGCGGTATGAACAATACAAATGGCAGCAAACTCGGGGCGTTGATGAAGAAAACTTGATTCGCAGCCTTCCCAAGGACCTCAGAAGAGACATAAAGCACCACCTTTGTTTGGCTTTGCTTATGCGAGCAAGTGTTTAGCTTGTGGTTTTTTGCCTTCCTTGCTTCTTTATTTTGTCAAATTTAACGTTGAAACTTATAGCTGTTTACAAATTTTGAAGGTGCCAATGTTTGAGAAAATGGATGACCAACTCTTGGACGCGATGTGTGACCGCCTGAAGCCAGTACTGTACACCGAGGATAGCTTTATTGTTTGTGAAGGCGACCCGGTTGACGAGATGCTTTTTGTGATACGCGGCAAACTGTATTCTGTGACCACTAATGGGGGCAGGACTGGGTTCTTTAACTCCGATTATCTAAAAGCAGGTGACTTTTGTGGGGAAGAGCTCCTGACGTGGGCTCTGGACCCCCATTCATCTTCGAACCTCCCCATCTCAACCCGAACGGTTCAAGTTCTTGCAGAAGTTGAAGCATTTGCTTTAATGGCTGCTGATCTGAAGTTTGTAGCCTCTCAGTTCAGGCGACTCCACAGCAAGCAGATTCGCCACACTTTCAGGCTCTATTCGCAGCAGTGGAGGTCCTGGGCTGCCTGCTTCATACAAGCAGCCTGGCGGCGCTATTGCAGGAAGAAACTAGAGGAGTCCCTGCGCGAGGAAGAAGACAGGTTGCAGGATGCACTAGCAAAGGCAAGCAGCAGCAATTCGCCAAGTTTGGGGGCGACAATCTACGCATCGCGATTTGCCGCCAATGCTCTTCGTGCATTGCGCCGCAATGGTACCAAGAAAGGCAGGATGATGATGATGATGCCTGAGAGAATATCGCCCATGCTGCTTCAGAAGCCAGCGGAGCCTGATTTCACTGCTGAAGAGTGAAGACCAGTAAGATTATTTGCTACTCCGTAGTAGTTAAATGCTCGTATATATGAATTTTTATGTATGCCTAAGATTTGTTGAGCATGGTAATAATGATTGTCATCCAATCATCTATCATGTTCGATACTCTTGTACATATAGTGCTCCTTCTTAATATAAGTCCTTACTTTTGTTTCCATAATTTTCTCTTGAAACATACATACTGTAGAAGATAAATGAAGCTACCCTTCAGGTCTCCTCCAAATTGAAAAGGAAGGCTCTTGCTAGGGGTGTCCATCGGTCCAAACCGGGATTGAATATTCTCTTAAGACCGGACTGGTAATACTCGAACCGGCCCGGACCGGACCGAATAAGACTCTTTCTCAATTTTACTTTCTAATCACTAATCAACTTGGCAGTTTCGATATATTCTAAATAAAAGTTTTATGTAACAAAAAGGAAGAACTGACAGAAGGGAGAAGGCACCAAAAATATATTTAAGTTAACTGGCCTATTTCATAAGCAGCAAGCTAGAAACATAGACTACTTAGTACTTAAATTAATGCTCCCTCCGTCCCCAGTATTCCATTTTTGGTTATCCCCAAATATTTGTTCACTTTCCTAATTTGGCAATAAAAAATAAATAATTTATGAGATTCTGAATACATTGGCAATGATGACGATGAGATTATTCCTGATTCGGAAGATGGGGACGATGGTGAGTTGGTTGTTTCAGATTCTGAAGAATGGGATGATGATGACGCATTCATTGTTCTAGATTCTAAAGAATGGGATGATGATGACGCATTCATTGTTCTAGATTCTAAAGAATGGGATGATGATGATGCATTCATTGTTCCAGACTCTGAAGAAGGGGAAGATGATAACGGGTTCTCTAACCTGACTCTCAAAAGATTCTGAGTCCCTGACTTTGGAGGTTGGGGATGTGGAGAAACCTCAATTTCTCCATGAAAGGGTTGATGGGGATCCTTTGTAATGCCCTAAAAGCCGGCTTAGTAATTATCCATGATTTTTAATAAAAATAAGTATATTATTTTCTGACATTAGAATATAAACTATTTGTAAAATTGACCTTTTTATTTAAAAATTAGGTTTTTGGGTAGATATCGTAAAATGGTGACCAACGATATATAATTTGTTAAGTTTGGACTTACGTGTAAAGCGTGATGAGTAAAGTAGATATTACATATCAATAATGAAATATAAAGATTTTAAAATATTATAATAATAAAATAATAAATTTCCAAAAACTAAACCTACACGCAAGAAAACCCGGGTAAATTTCACCAGTGGTACCTGAATTTTAGCTGGAATTTCGAAGTGGTACCTAAATTTCAAATCCTTTCAAAAAAATCTCTGAACTTACACAATCCTTTCACTAAAAGTCCATTTGCCCGTTTCTAGGTTAACTTCCGGTTATTTGGGCCAAATTAGAATTTTATAATCCCTCCGTTCCGCTATATTCGTCTACTTTTGACTTTTGGAACTGTTCATCTAAACACTTTGACTCATCAAATTTTCTCAATGTGTAAGCCTAAATATAGTCATGCGTGATCTTGTTTGATTTGTCTTAACATATAGATTATTAATATATAATTTTTATAATTTTTTAATATACAAATTACAAGATAAAATGGATTAAAGAAGTGTATCGGAAGGTATGCAAAAATGAAAGTGGACAAATATGGTGGAACGGAGGAAGTATATTTTAAAATTTTCAATTTGACCCCATTTTTTCTTCTTTGTTCCCCACCCACTTCTGCACACAGCCGTCATCGCACCCACGAATCGGATTTCGGCCCCGTCGGATTTCGGCCTCCCTGCACCCGTCGGATTTCGGCCTCCAGGGACGGCGCCGCCGCCTCCCTCTCCATCGCCGCGCTCTTCCACCCTTCCTTCTCCATTTCCGCCCCTCTCAACAGAGCTTCCAAAGTGGAAAGATTGGATTTTTAATGGGGGAATTGAAAAGGCAGCTAGCTAGCGAGGGCCACTGGGGAACAAAAGAGAATGGATCGCCGCGCTCTGAACCAAGAAATGAGGTTGGTGATGGGAACCAAAGATTCGATTTTTACTGAAGCGATGGAAATACGGGAGGCTCTGAACAAGAACACAGAGCTGGAAGCTCTGTGAGAGGGGCAGAAATGGAGAAGGGTGGAAGAGTGCGGTGTTAGAGAGGAAGGCGGCGGCGGCGTACCTGAGGCCGAAATCCGACAGGTGCAGGGAGGAGAAAAGGGGGCGGCGGCGGCAGAGTCGTGGTGCAACAACGGCGGCGAGAGGATGACGGCGGTGTGCAGGCAGGAGTGGGAGGGAAGAAAATTAGAAGTGGGGTCAAATTGAAAATTTTAAAATATTTAAAATTCTAATTTGATCCAAATGACTGGAAGTTAACCTGGAAACGGGTAAATGGACTTTTAGTGAAAAGAATGTGTGAGTTCAGGGATTTTTTTGAAAAGATTTGAAGTTTAGGTACCACTTTGAAATTCCAACTAAAGTTCAGATACCACTGGTGAAATTTACCCAAAAAAACCCCCAAACCCCCTATTATATGTATACACAAATGTGAAATTTGTACTAAATAGGACTAAAACATAATAACTTTCCTAATCTAGGACTTAAACTTTTTTATTCCCTAAATAGGACTTAATAATGTCTTCGTGGAAGGAATAATGCCCAGCAATGATAGACATTACTTGAATAATGACTAAAGAATAATGACTAAAGGTCCTACATTCAGAAATAAAAAGATATGATCCTATTTTGAGAAAGTCATTATGTTTTAGTCCTATTTAGGTAAATTACTCTATACAAATATGTTGCACACAAGAAAAAAAAGAGTAAGAAAACGAATACGGAGTATTAGCTGATTGCAAGGGAAAAAGAAAAAAAGAGAGAATTTGAGTATTTGACCGCTGGTTCGTATACATAGTCAATCGTAGATACGTTATGTAAATTATTTTATTATACTCCTTCCGTCCACAAATAAACTTTACGTTCATTATTCAAAGGGTCAAACTTTATTCACTTTGTTGACTTATTTTCGTCACCCATTTGATAAAATAATATAGTCATGTCACCTCTAATTTTGTAGATCTTTTGATTTAGTTTTTTAATATGTATTTTTTATTTTTTAATTTTATACCATTTTTCATATAAAATGATTTGAAAATAACTTCAGTCAAACATCGTAACGCGCAATGTAACGTTTATTTGTGGACGGAGGGAGTATCATTTAATTGTGATTTTTAAAAAAAATAAATTGATTAAATGATGAAAAAGAGTCCAGGTATGATTTCTTACTCTAATTATGTGATTTGTGTATTAGTAGATCCATGAATATTAGAATAAATTAATTGATAAAGTTTTGATTAAAAAGTCGCCTATGGTCTCTAGTGTTCGCCGGTCAGCGGTAGGGTCCTACTGTCCAACGGTTGACCGATACTGCCACTGAGGAACTTTTGCCGCAGACCAGACGGTACCAAGGTACTGTGAAACAATATCAAGGTACCCTATCAAACAGTACCCAACCTGTTATTTGTTTGTTTGTTCCAATTCGAGTCATGGATCGATTCTGAGAACTTGTGTGTTGCATGACGCAACACACAAAGCCAATCTCATTAATATTTACCAACTCTTAAACGAATTTTAGTTTAAGGTTCTTAACCTATATTCCAGTTTAGGGTACTCCTAACTAACCCGTAAGCTAGACCTAGTTTAAGATACAAATTTTTAAAAGAGGTTTTCAAAATCTTAAACATACCTTCGCTTAAGGTCATCAAAAACCGACAATGTAATGTTTATTGTTGGGTTGGGTGGTACCCCCAAATGAATAGGTACTCGAGTTTGGTTTTTGGATCTCGTACGCACGTTTTAACCCTGATCATCGGGCATCATACCCGTAAGGCCTAACTTAAATGGGTATATCTTAGATTTCTTCTAAATACCTTACAAAATCAACATCACTATGGGTATATATCTTAGAGTTATTCTAGATACCTTTAAAATTAATATCAATTAACTATAATGGTCATTTGGGTATATCTTAGAGTTATTCTAGATACCCTTCAAATCAACATCAATATGGGTATATTTTAGAGTTATTCTAGATACCCCTAACAATACATACTCCGTATTATTTTCACAGTCATCAATATATTCATTATGGTTTAATCATTCATAATTATCATTTTAATCAGAATATTCATCAAGGTTTAATCATTCATAATTACTCCCTCCGTCCGGAAATAATCTTCCCGTTTCTCCTTTTTCTTCGTCCGGAAATAATCTTCCCATTTCAATTTTTTATACACAAACTATCCAAAATACCCCCACTCATTTATCACTCTTCACTCATATTGNCTCCTTCTCTTTTCTCCTGTTTATTTGTCTTCCAGCCAGGTTTGGATAGATCTATTTTTGATATGGCAGTGGCGGCAGCGGTTGGGTAGGACTAGCAATGACGGCGACTAATACAGTGGTATGACTTGCAGTGATGGTGCTCGAGGTGGGCAAAGATGGTGAGATCTACTCAGTTTTTATAGATCTAATATATTGGGGAAAATTGTGGTGGGGACTAAGGCAATGGTGGGGCTGGCGGACGGTGGGGGCTGGCAATGGTGGGGGTGGGGGCAGAGGGGGGCTGCCGGCAGCTATGAGATTGGACGCAGTCACGGAGATTGTGGAAGGCAGAAGGCTAGTGAGGGCAGTGGTAATAGTTGTAAAAGAAAAGGGCAATTTGAACATTTTCATCCCATTGTCAACTCTCCATAAAAATGGAGAAAAGTCAAGATGGGTAGATTAATACCGGACGTAGGGAGTATCATTTTAATCAGAATATTCATCAAGGTTTAATCATCATAATCATCAATCAATAATCATCGTCATAAGCATCCATTAGTAATAATCATCACAATATTCAATAACAAATAGCGGCCTAGCTTCGAGTGTTAACATCCTAGCTTACCGTCATGCATGACGTAAGGTCCTTTTAGTTGTCAAAACATCATTTTTATTTCAAGAAATCATCTTTATATTAATCATAATTCATTGGTATCAAAAATAGGATTTTAGAGCTCAAAAATAGCACTTTTGGAAATATTTTCGGAGCAAAATTTCGGGGGATCGATCTAGCACTCTGGATCGATCCAAGCTTGAGGTGATCGATCTAGCAGGGTGGATCGATCCACTTTGCTAGTTTTTCGATCACTTTTCATATTTTTTTCTCTATTAATCTACTC